TTAAAATTGGAGAGAACTTATCCATATTTAACTTTACCTAGGATCTCTGGATGAGCTTCATTTGGAGCTTCTTAAACACCAGGGAAAGGGGTGTGCATATTTTTTTTCTCGGGAGGGGCCTTAATGTTTTTATCAAAAGTTTAGAACATCAGCTATGTTAGTGTCTTTTAACTTTTTTAAAAAAAGATTTATTTTTATCTATTCATACAAGAACTGGGGTGTAGGCCAGAGGTAGGGGGGCTGAGAGGATTCACCAGAGACAGAGTAGGGAGCAGAACAGGCAGATCTACTGAAATACACTGCTGAGGGGAGCAGTGTGGAGACAGGAGAGGTCTGCTGCGCCATGTGGGTAACTCCCTGGTGGGGGATCGAACTCATGTCACAGTGGCTGGTGATAGCTTAAAAGTGCTGAGACTTAACCCCTTCCACCACGAGGGAGACCCCATTCTTCTCCTTCTAACTTTCGTCTTTTATCCACACCTATCTTTATAGTGCCAGGGTCATAAGAAAGAAAGAAAAGAGAAGAAGAGTAGGGAAGATCCTTTACCATACTCCAAAAGTCACTCATCCCTTCATGGGCAAACAGCCTTGGTCCAAAGTGGGGCAGCTGAGGCCAGGAAGCTTACCAGGAGTTTAGAGCATATGCCGGCAGGGAAAAACAAGCTATCGGTTGGGCAGGGTCTAGTGGGCTGGGAGAGGGAGGGACCCCCAAAACTCACCATGTACCATCCAAGCTGGATAATAAACCAGAAGGTCAAGATGATGACTGCCGTTGTCCTTCCCACCTGCCATAGCACTAAAGTTGTCAAGAACCAGGAATAACCTCTCCATGTGTCCCGATCGATCGATAGATAGATAGATAGATAGATAGATAGATAGATAGATAGATAGATAGATAGACAGATAGATAGATAAATCCCCCCCCCTTCCCAACCTTTCTCCTTCCCAGGCATCCCATTCAGGACATCTGATACATGGCACACTACAAGTTTTAGTCCAAGATAATTGAGATATTGTCAGCATGGAGTGGAAGCAGTGAAAATAGTGCAGGTCTTGCAACCCTCAAAGACCAGAAGTTCCAACACCTATAAGAAGAGGACTGGATGACTGCCAGGTTCATTTCCATCTCCTACCCTAATTAGATCTCTGGTCCAAGTGCCTGTGGGGAAAGTGTACTACAAAAACATGAGTAGGGAGCGGGTGGATGGGAATGGAGGAACTTTACCTAGGAAAAAATCAAAATAAACAAAAAGCCTGAGAAACTGAGAATTGGTGTTTATGACTCTGGAGTAGACAGGGGCCTGGGTCCAAAGTGAAGGGTCAGCGGTAGGCAGGTATCTGTGCCAGACCCTGCCTCCACGCCAGCCCTGTCAAACATCCCTTGCCTACATCTGTCTGCTGCTCACCTTCCTGGATTTTTCCCATTAAGACCTATCCCAGATGTCTAGGGACCCACAGAAAGGGGCAGGTTAAGGTCAGGGTTGTGGCACTGTCAAGTGGGTCCATTGGATTTTCTGAGACCTGAACTGATGTTGTTATAGGGTGTAATCTCCTTAAAGTGGGGAGGCTTCATGTTCCCAGGACACCTAATAAAGGTGGAGTTGAGTGGTGAGGAGGAGACTTGGAGGAGAGGCTTGGAGGAGGCACGTGTGAAGGAGACCTTCTTGCTTCTCAGCTTTGAACTTTGCACCAGAGACTTGAGGGACATGGAAAGAGACACAAGGAATCGAGACATAAGGAGACACTTGGAAAAGATGTGGGTGAGAGGCCTGTGGGGAGGCTGACCATAGCCACCATTACCTTGATTTGTACTCTTATTTTCTCCTTTCCTCCCAGACTTTCCTGGCCCCTCCTGCCTGCAATGTCGTTTTGGTGAGATGTTGGGTTCAACGAGCGGGTCCTCAGGCTACCTCTGGGAAAGATTTCCCCTGTCAGTGGCGCACAACAAATTTACCCAGGAGACAACGATGTTTGCACAGACACAAGCAGGCAAAGGTTACATTTTAAAAGGACAGGTTTATTAAGAAAAGGAAAGGAGAAGACACTAGTACAAACACAAGTGGGCAGAAAGAACAGCCACTGCTGCTTTGCAAAGGGAAAAAATTGGTTAAAAGAAACGCCTGCTAGTTTTTTTAATATGTGCTGTTCTCACTGGTGTGAGATGGGATCACATTGTAGTTTTGATTTGCATTTTCCTGATTACAAGTGATGTTGAACATTTTTTCACATGCCTGTTGGCCATTTGCATTTCCTCTTTGGAGAAGTTCCTTTTTAGCTCTTCTGCCCATTTTTTGACTGGATTATTTTCTTTGTTTGTGTTGAGTCTCATCAGCTCTTTGCAGATTTTTGTGATCAGTCCTTTATCATTAGTGTTGTGTGCAAAAATGTTCTCCCAGTTGGTGGGGTTTCTCTTTGTTTTTGTTATTGTCTCTTTTGCTGTGCAGAAGCTCTTTAATTTGATGTAGTCCCAGCTGTTTATCTTTGTCTTCACTATCACTGCTTTGGGCGATGTGTCTGCTGGAAGGGATCATGCTTAGCGAAATAAGTCAGAAAGAAAAAGAAAAATACTGATGGGCTCACTCATAGCAGGAATTTAGAAAACCTAAATAAGGGACCAGGAAAAAGACTAATTAATACAAAGGAAAAATCAAAATCAACAAGCAACTATAAACCAGAGACATACTACGGGGGTGAGGGGGGCAACGGGAAGAGGAAGGACTAGGGTCAAAATAAGCGGGGGTACAATTGTGTGGGGAATATAACCAAAATGATAATGCATACATTGTGCAAAAATGAAAAATGATGTAAGAATTATATAAAATAAAATATTAATTAAAAAGAAAGAAAGAAAGAAAGGGCCTGCATAGTCACAAGGGGGCAGGAGAGCTGCTTTTTTCCAGGGCAGAAATTGTACTGATACAATGTCTTCTTCTGGGGAGGGGTTCATTCCTTTGTGGAATGGTTATCTATTATTAGATTATTAATCACTTCTAGGGTGTGACTAGGTTGACTTACAAGGACCAGAGATTTTCATTTCTATAGCTGGTTTAATAACTATTAAGTCATTTCTACCTCCACCTCCGGTTTCTGGTCATGTGATGCCCTCATCCTAAATTTTCTACTCTTAGCTTCCATCACCCCTTTCCTACAGTTCCCCACCAGAAGGTGCCTTAGATTTGTGGCAAGTTTTCAGGTCTCAGCAGCCCAGCCTTGGGCCAATGCTATTTGGCTGGGTATTTACCCATGAGGGGGATGGGTGCTTTGGGTGCTTAATCTAAAAACTCTATAATTTTTCTTGTCTTTGTTGTACACACAAATTGTATTAAAGAGTTCCTTTCTATTAAAGGTCTTACACAATAGAGTAAGTTTTTTCTTGTTGCGATAGATAGCAGAACCTATTTAGAGCGGGCAGGTTTGGGGGTTCTGGGGTGTCCCTCACCCTGCCCTGTAACAGTAGGATGGTGAGCAGTGATGTGAACACCCTCCTCTGGAGCCTCACCTCCAGGATCATGCTGCCTCTTCTGAGCATGAGGTGACCCCAGCTAGGGAGTAGGGGTAGTCAAACAGCCTGAGGTGTTGGAGGGGCCCTCTGACAGATGATGTCTGCCACAGGCTCCTGCAACCAGTCTCCCCTACTGCCTTATTCAGGGGGCTATGGAGACCAAAGACAACTGTCACAGTGTTGGGGGAAATGATGTCCTAAACAAACTCCACAAATAGGTTTTATGGACCCCACCCCTAGCCCAGACTAGGGATCGAAGACACCAAGGAGTAAAAATCCCATAATATCATCACCACCAAAGGGAGGATTGCTGGAAACTGAGGTTGGAGTTAAGCAGCCAGGCTTGACATGTAACCAGACATTTGGGACTTGGGGGTGCTTGGGTCTTGACCAGCTTTCCTCATGATATTTGGGTTCCAGCTCAGAGGAAGTGGTAGGACACATTGGCCTATTTATTTCTCTCTTTCTCCCTGAGTTATTCCTTTTTTCATTTCCCCTTTTTGTAAATAAACCCTTCATTAAACTTTTTGGGTGTGCCTGCAGTTGAGTTTCATTATAAGTCCCTTTTAAGCAGGAGGGTGAGGACCCAGTCAGGTCAACGCATTTCACATTGGGGTTACTCTGTAACAACAGAATGTGCTTAAGTACCATGTTGATTATTTTGAATTGGAAGAAATTGAAAAAAAATGATGATATTTTCCCTAATTATCTGTCTCCCTGAAAAACAACATCTCTGGGGTGTTCTGAGAGGTAGGAGACAGCCTTCCAGCCTTATCACCCCAGGTTAGGCTTGCAAGATCTATTTCCCCAGATGTAGATGAACACTACAAAATGTCTTCATCTATTAATTGCAAAGTTCTTTGTTCTGTCCTTCCCTCCCACATTTTATTAATATTACCCCTTTCCTTAAAAACTATATAACCTCGGACCTCCCTGGCAGCACAAGAGGTTAAAATGCAACCTATGAAGCTGTCTGCAGCCACTGCAGCACAAGTTCGATCCTTGGCTAGGGAGCTACCCACATGGCGCAGCAGACCACTCCTGACTCACCCACTGCTCCCCTCAGCAGTGTACTTCAATCTCCCTGTTCTGTTCCCCACTCTGTCTCTGATGGATCCTCTCACCCCCCACACCCCTGGCCTGTACCGCAGTTCTTGTACGCATAAAAAAATCTTTTTAAAAGAAAACCTATATAACCTCACTGTAATAACCAGAAGGGGTTGGACACTGTATTCTATGGACCCCTTGCATATATAATTAAAGTTTATTTTTTCTCTTGTGTCATTCATTATTAAACCAACCAAAATGTACCAGAAAGGCTGAGTGTGTGTGTGTGTGTGTGTGTATAGGGGGATCCCCCAACAACTTCCCTCAGGGCTCACTTGTCAGGATCCAGATTCAAGAACAGACTATGTTCCGGAAAAGGAAGCTAGTGAGTAATGAATTGGGGGTTGGGGAAGTCTGTCTACTTCCTCTCTTCTAGCCCTGTCTTCTAGCCCTTTTGAGCCACAGTTGTCTGTGGTGACTGGTTCAACTGTAATTCGGCAGCATGTGGCAGCTGCTGCCACCAGCGGCTCTGCTACTTCTAGGTAAGCCAGCATCACCCAGGCTGATAGACAAGCTCAGGAGGCCTGGGACTCTATGGAGGTTCAGGACAGGTGTAGAATGCCTCGCCGGTCTACAGTCCTAGACTTAACTCCTAGGACAAACCATCCTGAAGCTAGGAAAGAGGAATGCACAGGCTCATATTTGGGCGTAGCCAGGAGAGGAGGGAGGTCTATGAGGGTCCAATACTTCACCCGGGGTCTCTGTATGTAAATTGAACAGCATGGACTAGGTAGTCCCTAAGATCTGTCTCTTCCATTCTCATATTTCAGGGTTTCCCTCTACACTTTTCATTTCTACCCTTTGTCTGGGGCTTGAGTTAAGATTTTTTTGTAGCTTGATTGGGGAAAGTTCAATCTATATCCTTAAGTTGGGAGCTTGAACGGGGACAAGGAAGTAAGGGAATGTTGCTCACTAGAGGGATTATGGTGGACAGTGGAGCAGGAGGTAGACATGGGAGGAGCAGAGGGGAGAAGCAGGGTAGCCATCTACTCTAAGTATCTTTTTTTCTCCTCTAAATATCTTGATTCCTGGGACCACTGGGCTCCCTGGGCAGTGGGAGCAAGGCAGTTAGTCTGACACCACATGCTAGGAACCCTGCTGCCCACTTCTGTTCAAATTTGATTCATTTTTTTTTTCTTGCAGTTTCAGCTGGCATGCAAGCAGGTGAGTTTGTTTTGTGGTCTTAGGTTGATCAAGTAAACCACATAAGGAAGCTCTAGCCACAGGGTGTTGGGAAATTGCTGATGTGGGGTTAGCAGGACATTTCCTCTAACATGGTGAGACTGTGGCCTTATGCTTTTCTGGTCAATTTTCCTAAAGATAAAGAGCAGACCAAATATGGGGCCAAATGCTCCCAAGATGCTCTAAGACTGAAGCACGGAACAAGGGTGAGTTGCTGACTGTGGATCTGTGATGAGCTCACTCTGGCTTTGAGCCTGGTAGGGATACTGGGGTAGGACCACCATCTCCCTGACCTCATCCATGTTCTCTTGGTTCCCAGCAGATCTCCCAAAGTCTGTGGTGCTCCTGGACCCACCATACGACAGGGTGTTGACATTTGACAATGTGATTCTGAAGTGCCAGGGGAAAGACCCCTTTGGGAACAGTTCCACAGAGTGGTTGCACAATGGCAAGCCCATCTCTGCCAAGTCCTCCAGCTACTTCTTCACAGTGGACAGTGTTAATGACGGCGGAGAATATAGGTGTCGGGATGACTTCTCCTCATTCAGTGACCCTGTGCACTTGACAGTCCGTACTGGTGAGTGGTGAAGGAGGGAGGGACACACCAATAAAGGGTGAGATGAGAGGTCTTAAAAGACTTGAGAAAGACACTGATGTTCTTGAGGATAAAATGAGGATGATTTTGATGTCATTTTTGGAGTCAGTGGGTTTGGAGTGCGGGGTCCTTGGGTTCACTCTGGGAAAGGTGTCACCAGAGCTCCCGTTTCAGTGGCACGTGGTGATTTCCCAGGCGAGTTTCTCCATGAGACAGAGATGTTAGTTATATTTAAAGAGCAGGTTTATTAGGGAAAGGGACAGAAGAATAAAGGACACTTGCTTAGACACAAGCGGGCATAAAGAGTTGCCCCAGCAGGGACAGGTTTGCTGAGAGAGGCCTGCATGGTCACAGGCAGGCGGCGTTGAGGAGAGCTGCCTCTGCTGAGGGAGGTCAGAGAAGAGAAGACCCAGCAGGTACAGGTCACGAGCAGGCAGGAAGCTGCTGCCCTACGGAGGGAGAGAGTTGGTGAAAGGAAGCACCTGCATAGTCACAGGTGGGCAGAAAGACTGCTGCCCCATTGTGGGGGCAGCATTTTATCATCTTCAGGGAGGGGCTCATCTTTGTGGGTGGATGGTTTGTGCCCCTGACACTCCGCATAGCAGTCTGATAGTTTCTGGGTGTGGCACCTCCTGATCTGGGCATTGATGTCTAAGGGTCTTGGTTTCTATAACTGGGTTAAAGGCTTGTGCTAAGGCCCTCTACCCCTCCCTCCTTGTGTGAGTTAGCTTCTTGACCTTGTATCTCCTTTCCAGTTTTTCTATTCTCATCCTCCATCAATGTGATCTCTAGTCCCACTGAATTATATAAGTGCTATAGTCCTAACTACATTAGCCATTAGGCAAATGTCAAAAGCCCTATGCGCTACTGCATTGCACAATTCCAGACCTCACCATTCACACAGAATGCATACAACACAAGCAGTGTCATCTGAAGTTCAAGGCATGACACAGACGTGCGACAATTTATTAATAAATTAAATTAATTGAATAAATTAATAAATCTGTTTTTAGGGCCCCAATCTCCTCATTTCTCGGCACATAATGCCCTAACCTACCTCCTAAACCATCCCCAATCACCTAGCATCATAGCTATCTCTCCCCACGAAGGCCATGCTCAAGCTTAAACTTGCGCATTAACTTGGCAATGTACTGTCTCTCTTAATAGAGGCATATACATGGTCAGTCTACACAGTCATCAGGAAACGAAAGTCTCTGTGCGCTGTGAACAGAAACCTGACATCAGCTGCAGATAGGAGAAGTATTTTGGAGACAGGGATATTCCCTGGTATCACTGGGCTCACACCACATAACTTGGTATCTGCAGAGCCACCTTGCAAGATTGGCTGCCCCATATGTGCAATGTATATGGGTGGACAGAGCTTAGAAAAGGAGGAAGACCTCAGAGAGGTGGGCCTTCAACAGAGGTCCATGGAATTGGGCCTTAAAGCTGATTTTTGTAGCTCCTTTGCCTCTAACTTAGCTGACATGGCCCTTACTCTACAGAGCTACAAGGGGGATGTCTGTTATCTAGGTGGGTGAGAGATGGCCACCTAAGACCAATAGAAAGCAACAATCTGAACATTATTAGTTTTCCTTAAACTTGGCTCTAGAAACTGGCTTTAGAAACCCAGTTGATGAGTACTATAATAAATTGTGACCAACTTCACCAGGCAAAGTCCTGCTCACCCTTCGGTCTCCATTTTATTTCTTCTCTGAGAAGCCTGCTTTATTTTTTTCAGCAGAATTTTTTTGTTTCATTCTCTTTGGCTACAGTTCTTTGTAGCACTCATCACACTGCATTGTAATGATTTCTGAGTGTGAGAATGTGTGTGTGTGTGTGTGTGTGTGTGTGTGTGTGTGTGTGTTCCTGCCTAGAAAACAGATTCTTTGAGGTTAAGATCATGTGTCTTAATCATCTGGGCCTCTTCACTCTGCACAACACATGATACATAGTGAGTGTTCAATAAAATATTTATTGAAGGTATAGGATCAGTCTCCCCAAAAAGGTTGAGAAAGGTTCTTTCTAAGATTTCCAGTGCAGGCTTTTCTAATACATGTCATCTTGGTTTATGGAACTAAGGTTAATCAAGGCTCTGTGGACCTTGGAAGTAACTGTTACTCTTATGTAACTAAGGCAGATTACCTGGATTTAGGGACATCTCCAGAAAAAAATCTATTTATCAGCGAAATCTACTTTAAGGCAAAGTAAACATCTAGAGGCAAGGGTTTGTCATCTGAGTCCTCCTCTACTCAGCCTATCCCTCTTATCTTTCCTTAATCTCCAGGCCCCTATCTCATTCCTTAACTCAAGGTATAAAGCTCTAGTTTGCACCATTTACGTTAGAATTTACTGCCTTGCAAGTTCTCCATATGTATGTAATTAAATTTGGTCTTTTTCTCCTACCTACCTGATGTTAAATGCTTGCTCATCTAACTCAAAAAGAATCCAAAAGAGGAGAATTTTCCTCCAAGTCCTGATAAATGGATGAATATATGTGCATTCACAAAGCCCATGACAGGACAGATTGAAACAGGAGTGTTCCCCAAAGGCCACTGGAGGGGTATGTGTGTGCATGCACATATATGTGTGTACATACATACCATATACATATTATACACATATATAGTCAATCATAATCCCCAAATCGTATGTTAATAATCTCTCAACCAAAGAAAGCAAATAGATATATACAGGCACATGGCCCTTTTTGATAAATGGTATCTCTTTCTAAGTAATGACAGTTTCTATTTGGCAAACGTTTCTGAATGAAAATTTTCAACTACATGTTCTATCAATTTTGTTTAGCAAAAGGCAGTATTTTTTTTAAGTTTTATTGCTTTGTTCCTATTACAAACATCTTCCAGGTTCAATTTCAAAAATACATAGAAGTAAAAGGGACAACATTAAAATGATCTATGATCCCGGTTCCCCAGAGAAAACCACTGTTAGTATTTAATTGTATATCTTTATTTAATTGTACATCTTTTCTTTTTCTTTGCATGTTTTTTGTGTTCCATCTTTTCAACTTAGCATTGCCTCATGAATATTTTCTCATGTCATCTTTATTTTATTTTTATTTTATTTATTTTTTTATAGAGGCATGTTTTATTTATTTATTTGTTTGTTTTGTTTTTGTTTATACAAGCACTGGGTACAGTCAGAAGCGCGGGAGGGTGAGAGAATTCACCAGAGCCAGAGCAGGGAGCAGAGCAGGCAGAAGGACCGAAGCACACCGCTGAGGGGAGCAGCGGGTGGCAGGAGAGGTCTGCGCGCCATGCGGGACCCTCCTCTGGTGGCCGGGAAGCAGCCGGGGATCGAACCTGCGCCGCAGAGGCCGCGGGCAGCTTCGCAACCCAGCACTCAACCGCTGCGCCACCGGGGAGGCCCTCTCATGTCATCTTAAAATGTATCTACAGCATCATTTTTATTCATCAAGTCCTCTTTGACCATAACTTCCAGTTCCCAGTGAAGAGTCTCAGTACTTGGTGAGATAGTTGTGACAAGCATCCTGGTGATAAAAAATTTTCTCTCTTGAAGTCTATGCTCAGTGATAGATATGGACTGGTGAAGCCCATGGGCCTTCAGATACCACCATTACCATGAGCTCTGTCAGTCACATCTTCCCTTCCCCTCCTCAGCTTGTACATGAGATCTTTGTCATTTCTACAGTCACTCTGACCACCCGAGACCTTATTCCTGGTTCCAAGTCTGTAAGTTTCTAACACTCCTGAGTCTGGCCTGTCATGGACAAATCATCCTTTCAAATGCAATTTTTATTCTGTGATCTAGAACTTACTCTGGCACCTTATACCCACCATAGCCAATCAAGCCTGGTGCCAACAAATCCTGCAGATTCTGTCTCACTGACCTCATCATACTTCCTTCTCTCTGACCTCATGTTCTGATCATTTGCATATTTGTCCTTCTTCCTCAGCAGACAAAGGGTCTTGTGATGAGTTCATTTGCAGGGCCCAGGTGGCTTCCCCCCAAATTTGCTGTCTAAGAGTGGCTCCCAGACTGACTGGCTTTCCCAGGACCTACTACGTGGTGAGCATCCCTTCACAAGTGCTTTGCACTGATCACTGGGCCTCCTGGACCTGTGGGTTCTGTGTCTTTCAGGTTCGTTGTTGCTCCAGTCTCTTCAGTGGGTATTCCAAGTGGGGGAACCCATTCAACTAAGATGCCACACCTGGAAGAACAAAACGGTGACCAGGCTCTCATATTTACGGAATGGCGTCGTCAAGAAATTTTCTCACAACTATTTTGACTTCTACATTCCAGAAGCAAAACAAGAACACAATGGCTCCTACTTCTGCAGGGGGATTGTCGCAGGGAATAACGTGTCTTCAGAAACAGTCCACATATTTGTTCAAGAAGGAAGGCACTACAGCAACGGGACGGGTAATTTTTCTCACCCTCTGCTTCCCTTAGGTGAATAGCGCGGAAGGCCCAGAGCTCCGTGGGTGTGGAGTCAGCATTCACACTGGGAAGATGAGTTGAGAGGAGGTGCTTGATTTATCCACAGCTATGGGGTTCTGAGAGGTCTCTTTCACTCTGCGATGTGGCAGCAGGAACAGAAGCTGCAATTCCTCCACCACAAATTCCCACTCAGACCAAAGCCAGTGTTGTGTGTCTTCACCATATTATGTATTTACCTATCCTTCTTTCCTCTCTTGGCCAAGGTTTGAGGTTCCTTTTAGAAGCCTCCCAACTCCCTCATCAGAGAGGAGGCAGACCAGGATTCTGACCCATGTGACTGTGGGGACGCCATTTGTTCTCTATGAACTTATATTTCCTCTTTGGTAACAAAGACAAGCTGACACTTATTGGGCACCTTTCAGTGTGTCACGCATTGTGCTAAGAGCTTCTTTATATGCACCTAGTTGGATTGTCATAGTGGGCTTTTGAGACAACATCAGGGGATAGGTCATCCCTACTGTACTCTGCAGATGAAGTAACTGAGGTGAGAAAAGGGGTGGGGACAATGTGTCCCTAAGATCACAACAAAGACTCAAAACCTGTATATCCAACCACTAGATAAAGTGAAAAACTTATACAGGCACCAATGTCCTATACTAAAATTATGAACAATCCCATCAAGTCACCCTGGAAACATGTCCTGTTGCTGTAGTGCCTTCCTCCAGGGTGGGAATCCCCAGTATGGAGCTCCTGAACACTTCTACCTATAACCATACTGAGACTTACATTGTGAACAATTCACATGTGATAAGACAGCAAAATAGAGGCACCCCTTTTGAGTTGTGAACAAAGCAATGTCCATAACTTGTATTTTTAAAAGTCTTTAAGATTTTTCTTTCTTTTTCCTTTTCTTTTCATTCTTTTGATGTGTTTTATTTTTTTATTTTCTTATTTTGTTCTTTTTTAATTTTTAAAAAATTTTATTTCTATTTAAGTCCAATGTAAATACTCTCAAATGACTAAGGAAAGAGCAAATGGGGCAAAAACATAAATTTGTAAATGTAGATAAAGAATATGTGTGAGTTCTTTATGCTATTCTGATAACTTTTCTTTAGTTTCAAACTAAATCAAAATTAGGACTAAAAATGTAGAAATTTAAAAATCCATTGTAATGTTACCAGTTTATAGGTAACAGCAAAGAATGACTTTAAAAATAACAATATTAAGGGTTATGAAGTTAAGTATAAAAGTCTACCACTTTCCCTTCTGGGTTATTTAGTTACTGGGTTTTAATAAAGAAATATTATAAATCTTCTGCTGATAAATAGCAAATGTCAGTGGTTCAGTTGTTAAAAAATATTTTCCTTAGTGATAATGAACAGTGTGGGTTGAAGACAATGAGTATAATTTTGAGACACAAGAGAAAGTCACTGGATTAGGAAATAATGCTTCACACTAGCTTAAACTTTGACAGATTGATAATATCACACAAAACCAGGTATAGCCTAACCACTATCTCAGCACTCCGCTCCATACATCCTTCATCAGGATGCTGGTTCTGGGCTCTTGGATGAGCTGTCTCTGCCCTGATGAAGATCAGGACTCAGTGGGAGGAAGCAAGTCTCTGCCAGACACCCTCTCCACCCCATTCCCGAGAATCCAACTCTTCACAGGTGTCAGAAAGATTCTCTGCTGATAACTTTGCTGTTTACTCCAATTTGGGGCATTAATTTTTCTCACCCTCTGCTTCCCTTAGGTGAAGCAATTCCATCCACCCGAACTGACTTTATATCTTGGCAAATCACTATCTTCCTGGTGGTGGGATTCCTGTTTGCAGTGGACACAGGACTCTACTTCTTTGTGTGGAGAGACCTTCGAAGCTCAGTGGAGATCAGGAGGGATATCAACGTCAGAGCCAAGACCCTCATGACATATGACCCCTGATCCCATGGGGATAATAAAAAGAGCATCTTCGGGCCTCTCTCTAGAATCACAACCTTACCATCCCCAACAAGCCCTTCTGGGAACAGCAGGAAAACTACACCTCAGAGTCTAAGCTGAGGGTCTATCATCCAACTTTTCTCTTGGCTTCCTATGGAGAGGAGGAGGATGTGTCTGTGGTCTTCAATGCCATGAGTGAAACCCCAGTGAGCCACTAGCCCCATTATCAGGAATTGAAGAGATTCTCGGAGATATATTGTTTGTCTCAACCATTCACAGCAAAGCAACAGCACAGCACAGCCTCTGGACAGCAGACCCGTGATGTATGGACATGATTCTTCAGAAATGGATGTGTAGATAAGGGAACAAAAGGTTTAGGACTGCTGGACAGTGACCTGCATGTGTTGCTACAAAGCTGGGTGCCTTCAAGGGTAATGTTGGGATTCTAGGAGAGACAGAAAGAGGAAGGGAGTGGTTGGAAAAAAAGCAGGAGTCAGGGCAGGCCATAAAGGACCCTTTCCTGGGCTGTCTTCCTAGAATATGAGACAAAGTGGAGGGAATGAAGGTGTGGAGAAGTAGCTGGCTACAGAGCTGGCCTGCAGGAGCTGGATGCAAGCTGGCTGACAAGAACTGGTTTTAAAGTAACAGACTGGCCGCCCGTAGCCTCTGCAGCGCCGGTTCAATCCCCAGCTGCTCCCCGGCCACCAGAGGAGGGTCCCACGTGGCGCACAGACCTCTCCTGCCGCCCGCTGCTCTCAGCGGTGTGCTTCCGCTCTGCTCCCCGCTCTGGCTCTGGTGAATTCTCTCACCCTCCCGCGCTTCTGACTGTACCCAGTGCTTGTATAAATGAATAAATAAATAAATAAATCTTAAAAAAAATAAATAAAGTAGTGCTTGTATAAATGAATAAATAAATAAATAAATCTTTAAAAAAATAAATAAAGTAACAGACCGAGGCTGGATGCTTGAGGGAGCAGAAAGCTGACAGGCAAAGGCTGCTGGCCACTGAGCTAGCAGGCAGAGGCTGGTAAACACAAGAAGATTATAGAGGCACACGGTAGCTTGTGTGCTTTGCCACCCCTGGATGGCAAAGTAACATTAATGGGCTCCTCCCTTGGGCCCCCTCCTGCTGTCAGGAGTCAAGTAACATTAATGGGCTCCTCCCTTGGGCCCCCTCCTGCTGTCAGGAGTCTCTCTTGCAATAAACCTGAGCTTGCTGATCTTCAGTCCTGTGTGTCAGTGATTATTCCTCAGTCGCTGAAACCAAAGCCCACCTTTGATCAGCAACATCTCTGGTGCCCAACCTGGGGCTGGGGTCTCGGGGTCTCAAAGAAACAACTGAAGGTAAGACTGCACCTGGATTCTATCGCTCTCACTCTGTGCTTATAGTCAAATTTTTCACAAGGGCACCCATCAGCCTATTAAGAAAATGACTAGCATGGCTGGCTTTCTCAAGACATGGTGACAGGTTTCAAGGGAACTATAGTTGAAGCCCCAGTTCCGAGTAGGGGGCCAGAATGGCCGTCCTTGGTGGACTCCTTTCTGACTGTCCTGTCTGCCTCTGTGCCTGCCGCCAGAAGAGAACTGTGACTCTGAGTAAGCTGGTTTCTGTGGAACTGTCACCCGGAGTCCTCTATGAACTGGGCTGGGTGATACTGAGACTGTTCACACCTCTCTTATCATGCTGCTGTTTCATATTGCTGCTCAATCTGTCAGTAGGATGTCACTACCTGGTCTACCTAAAACTCCCTTTCCCAGCAGGCTTCTTTTTGCAGCCACCTCGTTTCATGGCTTCACTGTGGAGGGGCAGCGTTACTGGCTGCACCTCTGCTTGTCCCCCTTGAGAAGGTGGGCCATGGGAAACTTCAAATTCAAACCCAAAACTCAGCTAAAAAGCAGATGTGGTCACTGTTTGGATATCAGACTAAGACATGTGTCCTCTTCCCCTGAAAATCCGGTTCCTATTTTGGTTTGGCAGGTTTTTTGTGGCCCTGTGTCCTCCTCCTTGGTCCTGAAGACAATGAGGATTTTTCCATTCCCCACCGTCTCCCCTACCAGATTTTCTCTTAGTTCTGCCAGGTCTATCCAATGATCAGAACTTACACCTTGCTATGACCCCACCCAGGGAAGTGTCTTGGCCCTCTGTTTGGCAACCATCATGGAACTGGCAAAGCCCCCGACCTTTCCTCTTTCAGGTTTGAGTATGCATCACTTTTGGGTCCTGGCCTCCTACGTAGGGGCATCTTGGCATCCTAAAAGGTGCTACCAATTGGCTTTGTTCCTCTCAGAGGAACGGGACTGGGGACATAATCAGGTGCAAGGCTCTCTCATGCTTCTTTCAGGTCACAAAAGCTACCCTTGCAACACCCCATCTCCCCTCATTAAAAGAACTTGCTCCACTGGTCCCTCATTAAAAGAACTTGCTCCACTGGTCCTTAACCATCTCCATCCCTCATATCATTAGAACAGACATTCACACTCACGGTCCGGCGACCAAGAGAGACCCCATACTTGTTGCTCTTCTCCAGCCTGTCCCTCACATTTCTGTTTCTGCTTGACTCGCCAGCCAGACGCCGATGGGACCAGGTCTGTGGCTGTGATAGACTTCACCCCCGTCCCTGTGTGGGGGACTCCACGGGGGTGTTGACTGATGCTTAGGGATGCCTAGGGTCAGTCTCCATGGTGGATCAAGTGAGACATAGTCCATAAGGGATGCCTGTCTGGACTTACTCACCTCAGGGGCTTGGTGGGGACTTTGTGCAGGATTCCCCTTCTTTTCTTCTTTCTAGCTCACCCCTCCTTTCTATCCAGATAGGGACCACCCAATCTAAGCTGAAGGGAATCTTGCCCCTTTTGTGCACCCTGATCAGTTCAGGGACCTTTGGGGAGATCTAACCTCCTGTTGTACTCTCGACTAGCGTGGCCCTAATATCATCTTGAGGATGGGGAGGCATGGCCGCCAGTGGGGTTCCTTCGCTACAAGACTATTCTCCAATTAGACCTTTTCTGTAAAAGAGAGGAAGGGTGGGCAGAGGTAGCCTATGTCTAGCTCTCCTTTATGCTAAGAGATAGACCAGGCCTTTGCCAGACTTGTTCCCTTCAGATGCCTCTGGCGATGGCCAAACCTCCTCCAGCCCCTGTTCCAGGTCCATATACTGACCCTCCACTCCTTAATCCTGGGCACCCCCAGGTCGAGTCTCAGGTTCCCATCTTCTATACTCCAGGCCCAGGAGGTCCCCAATGGAGCTTTGGGTGTCACTCAGGTCTATACTCCTTTTTCACTTTCTGACCTCTGACAGGCAAAAAGCAATCTGGGATGCTACTCCAAAAACCCTAATCAGGGCCTCCCCTGTGGCGAAGCAGTTGAGCGCTGGGTTGCGAAGCTGCCTGCAGCCTCTGCAGCGCCGGTTCGATCCCCGGCTGCCAGGTAAGGGTCCCACATGGTGCGCAGACCTCTCCTGCCACGCCCGCTGCTCCCCTCGCAGTGTATTTCGTCAGTCTGCCTGTTCTGTTCCCCACTCTGTCTCTGGTGAAATCTCTCACCCTCCCACACTTCTGACTGTACCCAGTGCTTGTATAAATAAATAAAATAAATCTTAAAAAAAAAAAACCTTAATCACTATGTAGAGATCTTTTCTAATTTGGCTATGATGGTGGCTTTAGACTGGAAAGATGTTATGTTACTGCTGACCCATCTGGGGACTATGTCATCTGGGGACAAGGAGAGAGTGTTGAGGGCAGCTATCCAGGAGGGAGTACATGGTACACAATACCTCAGCCTACAAAGACCAGCCCCCACCCTTCAGGGACTCAAGCAGTGTCCCTTGTAAATCTAGGTGGGACAAGGAGGACCACAAATTCTTAAGGGTTCATTTTATAAAATGCATAGTCTGAGAAATAAACACAACAAAACAAAAGCCCCTCAATTACACCAAAGTCTGGGAGATTGTACAGGGCACCCTTTGATGGCCTCAGGCACAGATGTGGATGCATGACTCACAGCTGCTCACATATCAGGCTACTTTGAAAACCCAGAGGTGACTATCAAAGCCTGTGGGTCTCTTAACCCTGTTGTCACCTCTTCCCCCGGAAGAGGTCTGTTGCTACCTCTTCCCACGGTCCCTCCAGAGCATGACTGCCTAGAGTTCTTGGCAATTGCTACCTCAACCAGACCCAGTTTGCAGACTTCCCCTTTAGAGGGGGCCAATCTGACCTTGTTTTTTTGTTGATAGAAGTGCTAGGACTATAAATAGTCGGCTTTGCACTGGTATCCTCATCCAGAGTTATAGAAGGGCTCCCCTCCCAGTAGGGGATAGCATCCAAAAGGCAGAGGTAGTGGCTCTCACCAGCGCTCCACAACTGACAGAAGGAAAGCGGGTCACTCTCTTCACCGATGCCACGTATGTCTATCAAGTAATCCATGCAAGCGGCGCCATCTGTGCAGAGAGGCGTTTGTCTCAACAGACCACACCACAATAAAATATCAGGAGCAAATCAAGGCCCTACTACAAGCAATCCACCTTCCAACTGAAGTGGGAGTAGTCCAATATCCAGGCCGTAAAAAAGGGATGGACGAAATTGCCTTGGGTAATCGATGTGCAGACCAGCAGGCAAAGCTGGCCAGTGAGGACCCTCTGTCCCCAGCACCTATGGCCCCCTTGCTGAGGGAAGGCCCAGTCTGCAGGAAACTTCTCTTACCTGCCAGCTGAAGTAGAGAGGGCAGTACAGCAGGGTGCCTCCCAAAACCCTCAAGGATGGTGGATTAGCCCACAAGGGAGATTCATCATTCCAGAAGCCTCTCAATGGAAAGTATTGAGGCAGCTGCACCAGCCTTTTCCCCTGGGAGTAGATGTGCTCTTCCCATTACTAGAGCCCCTGCTCCAAGGAAAGGGCAGACAGTGCATGCTCGAGGCAATCTTTTGTATAGCTTTTCCTGCTCTAGGCTTAAAGCCACAGCAACCCCCTGGGACTTTTTGGGGCACTCCCAGCTCGTGCTGGGTGTGCCTCCAGCAACCATCAGTGGTCAACCACGTTCCTTGGTTTGAATTCTGGCCCCTGTCAACACAGGAAGCCAAAATCTTGGTCTCTGAGAAAAAAAAAAAAAAAACATGGGGCAGACAATCCTCTGGTGTCTCTGTCTCATACAGTTTGGGCACAAAAGCCAGAGTTCGACACAAAATTACCCAGTGCAAAGAGGGCCTTTTTTCTCTTGTAATCAGAACCTTGTACAGACCCAGGTAGCCAGTGCATGAATCTGACCAAATGGAGTAAGTTTTCTGACTGGTACCACAGCCACCCAACACCAAAATCCCACCCTCTGACCTCCTCGTTGACAACCCCTAAGGAGATGCTCTTGGGAAACTTCTTATTGCTTCCCCAGCTAACTCTTCCTTCTGAGTCTCTTTTCTGTGTACCCCCAAAGGCTTCTTGATTGTGGGAAGGCTGTGGGAGTCCGGTCTTACTGGACTGCAATGCCACCCCCATTCTGCAGTGGAAGGTTACTGGACAAAGGCTCAGGTGTCCCACTCCAATCAGACCCTGCTCTTCCTCCACCACACCCTGGTACCATCCTCAACTTGGGACTCCAGCGGAAATCCATCAGTAGAAAGGGAACCCATCACCTTAATCGTGGGAGTTTCCTCATTAGTGGCCACTATCACAGGACTCACCATTGGGGTTGTATATAATACCAAAAAGCCAGCTAATGTCACTCATATTGTCTCTGAAGTAGCTCTAGACTCCGGGGAAGGCTTATGGGATCCCTGGACTCCCTGGCTCACATGGTTTGTATAATTGTTCGGCTCTAGACTATT